GTGGGGGGGGGGGGCAGGATGCCCCCCGCCACCTGCCAGCAGCCAGGCTCCAGTCTCCTTCTTGCATCACAATCGGAACCCGGGGTGCTCTGGGCTCTGCCTAGAACTCTGAGGGGCGCCCCAAACGGAGGTGCCTACAAAGGGGGCCGAGAGCTGGGTGGGGGGTTGAGGGAGGGGCTGTAAGTGACTCCTCTGGTCAGAGTGTCAGACACTCGGTCACCTCCTGGTTTATCTAGGGCAGCAGGGGACACAGCTCCACATGGTGGGGCGGGGGTGGCTGGTCAGGCGCACACCATCCATGGTGTGGGAGACAGCACCCGGCAGGCAAGCGCCTGTGGGGGCTGGGAAATAAGCTGCCCAGAGGGATCTGCTTTGGGAAGGCTTGGGGGGGGGGGGGCAGGAGTCCCTGAGTCAGGAAAACAATGAGCAAAAAGAGAGACAGAGGCAGCCAGAGGACCTCAGATGGGAGACGCCAGCAGGCTCAGAGCAGTGAGAGCAGAGAGTGGGGGGGCTGAGGGTGAACCTCACCAGAGAGGAGGGACTCCCCAGGAGGAGCCCCTGAGGCACCCCCTTTGTGCACCCACCATGGCTCTGCGTCCCTACGAAGAGGGAGTGGCCTTCTCTATTGCTCCTCACCAGCCCCAGGCCCAGCAGGTGCCCGGCACACAGAGGTCCCCACAGCCACTCCAAGCATCCGCACCGGCAGCCAGCACACTCCAAGTGCAGAGCCGCAGGACGAGGCAGGCGCCCGACAGGCGGCTGTGGGGCTCCAGGCCAGCTCGGTGTCAGCCCCAGGATGGAGGAAGGGACCAGGCTGGGCATGGACCGCACAGGTGTCAGCCAGAGAAACTGAGTCACGGGCCTGGTGCCGAGGAGCCTTGGGGTTGCAGGGAGCTGGGGCCTGACAGTTATATCTCCTGGCGGAAGGGGCTGCCCAGAGGGCAGGCTGCCCTGTGCAGGTCTGTTTTCTCAGCTGCCCCCCATCAACACCGCCGACAGCCTGCTGCTCACCTCCTGCCATGCGGCCCGGCCTCAGCTGCCTCCTAAGGAAAGGAAGGCTCTCCAGGGGCCAGGAGGGGCGTTACTAAGCTGGGGAGGCCAGAGGGCCTGGGGAGCCACTGGGCCTCAGGGAACCAGCCCAGAGGCTAGAGAGGCAGCCCCAGAGAGAACCCCACACTGCCCCCCAACATGCTCCCTCTCCCAGGAGACCTGACTCCTGACTCCGTGACCTCTGACCAGCCCTGGCCTGTCCATCTGGCCCTGCCTCCACTGCCACGTTTCTGCATCCAAGTCCTTCTGCCACGGAGGGGCGGTGGGAAGCGTGGACCCCCCGGTCCGAGGGGCCAGGTTCCAGTACAGACACTACCCTGCCCTCCTGCCTGAGTGCCCCTAACGGAGCCGTGGGCAAACTTCGGCCCACGGGCCAGATCTGGCCCATTTGAAATGAATAAAAATAAAAAAAAATAAAAAAAATAAAAATAAAAAAAAAAAAGACCGTACCCTTTTATGTAATGATGTTTACTTTGAATTTATATTAGTTCACACAAACACTCCATCCATGCTTTTGTTCCGGCCCTCTGGTCCAGTTTAAGAACCCATTGTGGCCCTCGAGTCAAAAAGTTTGCCCACCCCTTGCTCTCACCACTGAACAACACCGGCCAGGGCCACATACTCCTTCAACCACGCTTAACACTGCCTGCCTTTCAGGAAGAGCCACACGGGGAAAGCAGCCACACTCAGACGGCGAGGCTGGGAGCCAGGCGCCAAGGGGACGAGGTGGAGAGGACCCCATGGCGGGCTTTCCTTGGAGGGTCAACATGTAGAAGACCAGGAAGGTCACCGTGTGTCCAACCACAGGGAGGCTGACAGACCAGCGCGCGCAGGAGGGACCCTCAGAGGGCACCGCGCTTTACAGTTTACCATCCATTTTCCCGTCCAGATTCACGACTGCTCTGCTCAATCGCCGCGAAGCCACCCTTCTCAGCCTGTGTCGACCCTGGAAATGCAGGCTCAGCCAGGAAGTGACCTCCTGTGGCCGCACAGCCAGCACGTGTCAGAGCCGGACCAGGATCCTGCTCCGGCTCCAAACCCAGACTCCTCCCTGGTTGGGGGTGGAGCACCCATAGCCCTGGACCGTGTCACCGGGTCCTGGTATCATGTCCGCTGTACAGACGGGGAAACCGAGTTGCAGTGTGGTGGTTAACTAGCCCAAGGTCACACAGCTCATGAGGAGGGCCACCATCGGGATTCGAACCCAGCTCCGGGCCCACAGGGTTGGCCCCAGCTCCACAGGGCAGGACCCTGAGAGAGGCTCAGAGACTGGAGCTTGAGGTTGCAGCCACTGAGAAATGAGCAGAAAACAGCTGACAGGATGTCTGAGGACAGCCCGGCTGGTGTGGCTCAGTGGCTGAATGTCAACCTATGAACCACGAGGTCACTGTTTGATTCCCGGTCAGGGCATAAGCCTGGATCGCAGGCCCGATCCCCAGTGTGGGGCGTGCAGGAGGCAGCCGATCCATGATTCTCTCTCATCACTGATGTTTCTATCTCTCTCTCTCCCTCTCCCTTCCTCTCTGAAATCAATAAAAACATATTTTTTTTAAAAAAAAGAATGCCTGAGGATAAACCAAAGTGAGCAAAGACCAGGCACCAATCAGAATTCCGATTTCTCCAAAGGTCCCAGAGGAGCGGGGGTGGGGAGGCTGGTAGGGAGGGTGGTGGGGAGTCAAGGGTGAGGCCCAGAGTGCGTGCAGGGCTGGGGCTGGGAGACACAGAAAAAGCTGTGATGCCTCCCCTTCAACCTCCCCTCTAAAAAGTAAGTAGATTTTGCTAATTAAGGGGGGGAAAACGTTTGGGGAAAAAAAATTTGCTGAAAGTCACAAAAGGCCACTATTATTATGATTTCATTTACATGAAATGTTCCCCAAACAGGCAAATCCATAAAACAGAAAGCAGATGGGCGGCTGCCAGGAGCTGGGGGGAGGGGTGGTAACTTAATAGGCCTTTTCGGGGTGATGCAGATGTTCTGCAATTAGAGGGTGGTGGTGTTGCCTCACCACCTTCACATACTTCAGACCATTAGCTGTCCACCTAAAAAGGGGCGGATTTCATGGTGATTCTGTCTCCGTAAACGCTCTTTAGAAACAACACACGTGTTTGAGAAGTGAAGGGCCTGGGCCGTCTACACTGGGGACGATCAGGGAAGGGCTGCTGAGAGCTTTCGGGGGCTGTGGGCCAGATGTGTGTGCTATGGGCTCCTGCACCAGCCACAGAGCCCCGAGAGCAGTGCCCATGCCCCGTGCCAGCTACTCGGGTCTCGGTTCCGCCTTCATCCTGTCAGCCCTCTGGGTCCTCCGGTTCCACATCCTCACATCAACCAACCTCAGATCAAAAATACTGGGAAAAGCCCGGCCGGTGCTGCTCGGTGGTTGAGCATCGACCTAGGAACCAGGAGGTCACTATTCGATTTGGGTCAGGGCACATGCCTGGGTTGCGGGCTCGATCCCTAGTAGGGGGTGTGCAGGAGGCAGCCGATCCATGATTCTCATCATTGATGTTTCTCTCTCTCTCTCTCTCCCTCTCCCTTCCTCTCTCTGATATAAAAAAATATATACATTTTAAAAAATATTTTTAATTGGAAAAAAAACTCCAGAAAGTCTATCTCTAAATAATATAGTATAACAACTATTTACACAGCATTTGTATTAGGTATTATAATTAATCTAGAGATGATTTCAAGTATATGAGAGGAAGTATGTCGGTTATGTGCAAATACTAAGCCATTTTATATCAGGGACTTGAGCATCTGAGGATTTGGGCATCCCTGAGGGATGGGGGGAGGGGAGGTCTGGAACCATCCCCCAGTGGGTACCACAGTCCCTTTGCACTGACTGACCTGCTCACTCGGCTCAGAACACATTTCCTCTGCTCTGGGCCCCGCCTCAACTGAGTGTCACTTTCTCAAGGAAGCCACCCCTGACCTCCCAGACCAAGCCCTGATGCCCCACGTGTGCCCACCCTTGGAGCCCTTGTTACTCTTCCCACTTGACATGGGTGCGTGTAACCAATGTCCGTCCTCCGTGAGCCTGTAGCCCCCACAGGCCAGGACGTGTCTGTCTCCCTGGGCATCTCCAGGACTCAGCTCGGTGCCTGTACATACTGGGCACCCAGCAGACATCTGGGAGGAAGGCAGGTGGGCACCGCAGGAGCCAGCAGCATACAAAGCTGCCACGGCACAGCCTGCCTTTGGGGAACCCCTCTTCGCAGGGCAGACGGGCCCAGAGGCAGCACACAATGGGGTCAGCATGTAAGAGGGAGACCCGGGCACCAGGGATGCCCCAAGGAGGGTGCCCAACCCAGCAAGGGGCTGAGAGTGGTCGGGACAGATAGTTCTTGAGAGCAGGACACACCTGAAGGCTGGGGAAAATGCCACCTTTAAAACCGGCATGAAAAGAATCCACCGCCCCAAAAACTGAGGGCAAGCCACGGCATTCATGATGCTCCGTCAAGGGAAGGGCCACGTGCTGGGGGACCACAGAGAAAGAACTCGCTTCACCCAAAGGCAGGGCTTTCCACAGAACAGGCCCAGATCCGATGCCGGGGAGGGGCAGACAGTGGGGACCGTGGGCAAGTGGGGAGGGTCAGACACAGACACAGGCACGGGACACAGACAGGACAGTGGGAGTGGGGAGCGGAGCCCAAGCGGAGGGGCCTGGGCGCCCATGCGTGGGGAAGAAGACAAGAAAGCAGCCAGGCACGCAGAGGGGGGCTGGTGATCGGCCCCACCGGGCATGCAGCTCGCGAGCTGAGAGTCCCCGAGTGTCCCCCTGGCCTTCGAACGAAGAAAACAATGCTCACAGCCTAAACCTGTGGCTCCCCCTGACCTCCAGCGGTTTGAGAGCTCCCTCCTCCACGTGCACTCACACCGGCCTCCCCTTTCCTGCTGGTGTTCCCGGGGGGTGACCACTGAATGACTTGTGTCCACTCGGGCTGCCCAGCAGATGGGGTGGACTCGGGGTGGGAAGCCTCCCTGCTGCTCTCACGTCTGCACGTGCTGCCCGTCACCCTGGGGAGGCAGGTCCGGGCCCCAGGGACCGGGAGGAATGGGCACGAGAACGGCCAGGCCTCTGACTCTCGCCACCTCGCCCGCTCGTACACTCTCGAGCCAGGAGAGGAGCCCCAGGTGTCCATCAGGCCGGTGGCCTGGAGGGCTCCAGGTGACCGGGGTGATGTCCTCCGACCTGCTCCGCGGTGGGCAGCGGCCTCTGCCCGTCCCCTCCTCCCCAGGTACCTGGTTCTGCAGCTGGGTGGAGGTGGCTTGCTGGTCACTGTCTCGGAGGGCCAGCCTCTCCCGCAGGGCCGCCAGCTCCTCCTGCAGCTGGGCTTTGTCCTCCTGCAGCTGGGCCATGGCCTCCACCATCCTATGCACCGTGGGGGCCGCACCCGGCGGCCCCGACAGGCTCGAGCACCTCCCGCGGCCAAAGAGACGCCCACCTATGAGCAAAGTAGCGGCCGATCAGCAGGGCAGCAGAGGCCCACCCTGGCCGAGGAGAGGGGCCGTCCTGGCAGGGCGACTGCACCATTGCACCATCGCACCATCATCGGGGACAGGGGGGAATGCTAGCGGAGGGGATGGGGCAGGGAGAGGCCTGGGCAGCAGTGTGGGACAGCTGCGGGACTTCAGCGGGCAGCTTCCGGGGGACGGACCTGCCTGCATCGGGACTCAGGAAAGCAACTTTCACTGAACACTCCCTTCAAAGCATGGGTTCTAGGTCTGGGGGGTGACACCTTCTCCATGGCCCACCGGCCAGTCATGGCAGCTGAGAAAGAGCTGCAACTTCTCTGGTAGCAGCTGGGAAGGAGCCGGGTTGCCTCCCCGTAAAACACTCTTCTGAGAGGAGCATGCTTTCCTTTTTAAACCCCAAACCCGCTCCAGAGTGAAATTGAGTGGGGGCTCCCTCCGCAGGGAGTGGGCACCAGCACACAGAGAGGGAGGACAGGGCAAGGTGTGCAGGTGCCAGGAACAGACAGACGGGGACGCAGAGACAGACAGACATGGCACGTGAACAGGAACACAGACGGGCCGCTCGGGGGCGGACACCTGCCCTGGGCGGGATTGACCGCAGGGACCGCAGGGGTGGGAGCACTTGTTAGTACGGGGTGGGCTGACTCCTGAGTCCTCCTCCTGCCACAGCCTCCCACTGTCCTGCCTCCAGGAGCAGGAGAGAGACAGACAGATGGGTGTAAGGACAAAGACACGGAAAGGGGCCTGTGACCAGGAGGCTTGCCAGAGCTTGATTCGAGGGCTGTGAGTTCTGCAGGCCGGGAGCTGGCACGGAGCTCGGGAGAAGGGAGAGGGCGGAGGAGCGGGGCGAGGACGGGGGACTTGCCTCTTCTCTCCAGCAGCCCAATCTGGGCCCTGGCCAAAGCCCCCAGAGCCAGAAGGAGGAGTCCGAGAACGAAGTGGCCGGGAAGAAAGGGGAGGAGCAGCACCCACTGGCCGCGACCTTCCGCTTGACCTCAGAGCCCAGGGCTTCTGGGCTCCCCCACAGGAGGTCCCCAGAGCCGCAGCCCTGTGGGCGGGACTGGGGGTCCCAGAGGCTGTGAATGCAGCCACCTGCTCCTGGAGTCGCACAGCCCGGCCTGGCCGGCTGGCAGCTCTGACCCACAGAGGCGACTGCGGACAAGCCCGGGCTGGAGTGGGAGTGTGGAGGGAGCAGGTCCTGGCTGGGCAGATCGGCTCAGCGCACTCCCCGCCTTCTGGGGGGGGCGGGGCCGGGGGGGGTGTAGAGAGTGAGAAGTCCCTGCTCCCACTCTCATGAGGCAAAGTACACGGGGGCCAGCTTTTCCCTCCCTCACAGCCCCTTGGGACGACTTCGACTCAAGAGCTGGGGCAGGAGGGGCCCTGGCTGGCTAGTGGCCCGGCCATATGGCCTGCACGTGACACTGCCTGCATGTCGCAGACTGTCGGCCCAGCTTCTGCTCTCTGTTCTGGAGAGAGTGAGCTCAGAGGGACGCTTGCAGCCCGCACACGGGCGGCCACGGGCAGCATGGGCCCGGCATGGCCCTCAGCCCTTTGCAGGCTGCTATAGGGTAGGAGGGGTGCCAGGCTCCAGTGGGAGAGGCCCCTCAGGGTCTTCGTTTGTGAAATGGAAACAACAGCCCAGTTGGGGTGGCTCAGTGGTTGGGCATCGACCTATGAACCAGGAGGTCACGGTTCGATTCCCGGTCAGGGCACATGCCCGGGTTGTGGGCTTGATCCCCAGTGTGGGGTGTACAGGAGGCAGCCCATCAATGATTCTCTCTCGTCACTGATGCTTCAATCTCTCTCTCCTTTCCTCTCTGAGATCAATAAAAATATTAAAAAATAAAATGGGGACAATGGGCCTGGACACCAGGAGGGATGCCCGGGTGTGAGTGGGTGGTGCCCACAGCACATGGGAGAGCCTCCTTGTCCAGGACGCTGCTCGTTTCCCAGAAAGTTCTGGGAGACCCCCAGAGCCCACGCCTGCTGGGGTGCACCCTGTGCCGTGTGCCCAGGGAGCTGGGAGGGGCCTGGGGAGTGCTTGCTGGGGGAGAAAGGCCCTTGAAGGAGCTAAGGGACGGTGGGCGATCAGGGGACACGCTATGAACAGCCCTTACACGGAGGAGGTGCACGCCGCTTGGCGTGTCCGTGGGCGCTGCCCCTCAGGCACTCGGCTCAGGGACACGCAGGCCCCACCCTGGCCCTGTTGACAGAAGTCAGGCCTCCCTCGTGACTAGAACTGGCCTCTCCCTTCTCAGCATCACCTGATCGGCTGGACGGTGCCCCCGTCCCCAAGGCCGGCTGCCCAGACCTCGGCCAGACCCCACACCTGCCGCCCAACGCCAGAGCGCCCGCCCAGACAGACGGGCGAGCGCGGCCCTGGCACGGACTCAGAGGGCGGATTAGGTGCTTCCACCGCGAGGCAAGTCCGGACGCAAACCAGCCAGGGCGGCAGGGAGGA